AGGGTGACAGCTTGAGGCTCTGTCTCAAAATAAAAATAAAAAAATAATTAAAATAATAAAGCCAGGCACGGTGGCTCATGCCTGTAATCCTAGCACTCTGGAGGCTGAGGTGGATAGATTGCCTGAGCTAATAGGTTCGAGACCAGCCTGAGCAAGAGCAAGGCTCAAGTCCCTAAAAAATAGCTGCGTGCTGTGGCAAGCGCCTATTGTCCCAGCCTACTGAGGAGGCTGAGACAAGAGAATCACTTGAGCCCAAGAATTTGAGGTTGTTGTGAGCTATGACACCATGGCACTACACTGAGGGCGACAAAGTAAGACTCCATCTCAAAAAAAAAAAAAAAAAGGCCAGCTTTTTTTGGTAAATCAAGTCATAGTTTAACTGCACTAAAGAAACAAAATCTGAAGGGCATCCTTTATAAAGACCTTTATAGGGCAGCGCCTGTGGCTCAGTGAGTAGGGCGCTGACCCCATATACCCAGGGTGGGGGGTTCGAACTCGGCCCCGGCCAAACTGCAACAAAAAAATAGCCAGGTGTTGTGGCCAGTGCCCGTAGTCCCAGCTACTCAGAAGGCTGAGGCAAAAGAATCGCCTAAGCCCAGGAGTTGGAGGTTGCTGTGAGCTGTGTGACACCACAGCACTCTACCAAGGGTGATAAAGTGAGACTCTGTCTCTACAAAAAAAAAGACCTTTATAGTGTGAATAGGAGCCCCTTACTTCCAGAGAGTCTTAGGGCATTAGAACTGGAAGAGCTTGAAACATTAATCTGTCCCATATTATATATAAAAGAAACAGAACTGAAGAAGGGAAGGATTTATCTGCTCAATAATTCCTCATTTATTGCCAGCAGCACCTCTTATAGATTATGAGATGGGTCATCTTTTTTTATGATTGATCTCACCTAGGTTTGAAAATATACATGTAGTGTGAACACATGAGAGAAACAAGTTTTCAAACACACTGGAAAGTATTGAGACTGATAATCTCCAGTGCCTGCCACTAAGATTTAACTTGGTGTCTAATTGCCAGTTCTTAAAGCTTAGCTTTACCTTTCTTAGTTCCCAGTCTTTCTCTTAAGTAAATCTCTACATCTAAAATTCAGGTAACCCCAGGGTTATCCATGGAATCCTGTAGGGAATGGCAGGCATTCTTTGCAGCTTATCTCTTGAAATGTTTGTATTTTCAGACACGGGGTTTAAAGAACTCGAATTGAGTAACTTTAAAAAGTATAAAGTACTGTTTTATAATAAACTGGCATTTTAAATATTGGTCCCTTTATTTGATATGCTTTGATTCTTACTAGTTAGGTAATTTCTGGGGTTTTTTGTTGTTGTTGTTTGTTTTGGGGTTTTTTTTTGAGACAGAGTCTTACTCTGTCGCCCTTGGTAGAGAGCTGTGGCATCACAGCTCACAGCAACCTCCAGCTCTTGGGCTAGGGCAATTCTCTTGACTCAGCCTCCCGAGTTGCTGGGACTACAGGCATCTGCCACAACACCCAGCTATTTTTGTTGCAGTTGCCACTGCTGTTTTAGCTGGCCGAGGCGGGGTTTGAACTGTCACCCTCGGTATATGTCACCCACTGAGCCACAGTCACTGCCTGAGTTAGGTAATTTCTGACATTATGATAGTTTAGTAAAGTAACCCTGTGAAGTCCTTCTAGGACACATTCAGAGGATGTAGAGATGCCTCTTCAATAGCATTATCCTTACTCGGAGCTTACAACATCAGTGCAAATGTTACTGAATGCACACTGTGCCACATGGTGAGCCGGGCTGTCCGGCTATAGAGATGGATAGTGTAGTCCCTGGGCTCTGGGCACTGTAGGCTCACAAGGTGAGAGTATGTTTACCCATATTGCAAGGAAATAATGTTTAGATTCTTTATACACAGTATCCTGTGACAACCCTCCTAAGTCAATTCCACCCTGCCCCATGTTCTCTGTATCTAGAAGCAGAGTGTGGAGAGACTTTAAGAGGGCAGGATCTCAAGATAACAGTAAATTAAGGGTAGGAGTGGGGTGGAGGGAGCCAGTGGAGATACCTTGGGGCAAACTAGATTGGAGGTCAGGCAAGGTGTTTCTGGTGTGATAAACAGGCCAGAGCAGGAACTTGAGACAGAAATAGCCACACAGTAAGTTTACAAGCCATAATTCATGGCTTTTCTCCAAAAAAAGTCTTGTTACCAGAATGTGAGACTTTGGACTTAAAGGCCAGATACATTCTAACAAATGCTGCCTTGTTCTAGAGTTATTTACATATATATGCAAAACCTCCCTGTAGGCCACAGACTCTTAGAGGGCAGCTGTGGCTCCTGATTCACCTGTCTCCACAGCATGATCTAGCCGGAGGCTTGGCTAGACTGCCAGATTCAGGGGCCCTGCAGCCTGGGAAGTGCTTTCTGCACTCAGAGAGGATGACACTGCTGGTCATCATCCATTCCATGCCCAGTTCTGCCCTACATGAAGGGGATATAATAGTTTAAAGGCAAAGTCCCTGCCTTTATGAAGCCTGCATTTTGATGAGAAGAGATTAACAATAAGCAATAAAAACATATAATGTGTCAGATGGTGATAGTGCTTTGGAGAAAACTGAGCCTGCAATAATAGAATGAGGAATGAGAGTAAGATTGATGGTGGCTGCTATTACAGTGTGGTTAGGGAAGGCCTGACTGATAGGATGACAGGTGAGGGGCCCATTCTCCCTTGCTTGCTGACGTGTGGAAGGGCATTCCAGCAGAGGGGCACCAGCAAGTGGCCTAAGGAGAGGGCGTGGTAAGGAGCCAGGCTCAGAGAAGCAGCTGGTGGCCTCTTGTAGGATTTCTACTCTGAGAGAGATGGGTGGTGAGGGGATGTTTTAGACAGAGGAGCGATGCGATCTGACTTCTATGTTTAAGGAGTTATATTCGGGCTACTATGTGGGGGAGGGGAAGAGGTGCAAGTAAGGAGACCATCGGAAGGATATTGTAATGATCCAGCTGAGAGATGATCAAGGGTTGGATGATGGAGGTGGGGAGGTGGTGGTCTGATTCTGGATAATATACAAATTGGATATGGGGTGAGAGATGAAGCAAAGATAACAGTTAGTTATGAGCAACAGGAAGGACGGAGTTGGCATTAATAGATGAGGAACAGGAGGGGCAGGCTTGGAGGAGATCATCAGGGGTTTAGATCTGCTAACTTACTAGGCTAAGGAGAAAAGAGCAAAGCAGCAGCCAGGAGGCAGAGGAAAACCAGCAAAATACAGTGTCCTGGAAGCCAAGAGGAAAAAAAGTTTTAAGGAGAAAGGACTGATGCATTGT